CTATATATTAATATATAGTAATATATACTTAATTAAAGTATATTAAACATAAATATATTAATTTTATCTAGATTATATAAATGTAACAATATAAAAAGCTGCATGGAACAGTATATCCCTGTAAATATTGCATATATTTTAAAAATAATCACTTTCTGAAACTAAATGATCTTGTGTGTGTGTGTGTGTGTGTGTGTGATGAATAAATTTAATCTATACTTGTGCTTTTGAACTCCAAATAAAATTGCTAATGTGATGTTTATTCTGTTTTTTCAGGGATAGTGGAGCAGTCACAACAAGCATACCAAGAAGCTTTTGAAATCAGCAAAAAAGAGATGCAACCAACACATCCTATCAGATTAGGACTGGCTTTAAATTTCTCTGTGTTCTATTATGAGATCCTGAACTCACCGGAGAAAGCTTGTTCCCTTGCGAAGACTGTGAGTTGATAAACTAACTATTACCTTGCATTTACTATTTTTAACAGGTTTTGTATGTACAAATGTACTTTTTTTTAATTATAGGCTTTTGATGAAGCCATTGCTGAACTTGATACGTTAAGTGAAGAGTCATACAAAGACAGCACACTAATAATGCAGTTACTGAGAGACAATTTGACAGTAAGTACTTGGACATTTTAAATACTTTATACAAGTAAGGATAAATATATTAATGCTAAGTTATCTAATAACTATTGTTAATAAAAACGGAAGTCTAATTTAGTAAAAAAAAGGGTGACATGGATTTATTTTACTTAGCTGTTTTAACTCTTGAAAGGGTCTTTTTTCTTAAAGCATAGCTTTCTAGGAGCTGAACGCTTTATACAACTAAAACATTAAAGAGTAACACGTGTCTGCATTTTTTTAAACAGTTGTGGACATCAGATACCCAAGGAGATGAAGCTGAAGCAGGAGAAGGAGGGGAGAATTAACCAGCCTTCCAATTTTTGTCTGCCTCATTCTAAAATTTACACAGTAGACCATTTGTCATCCATGCTGTCCCACAAATAGTTTTTGTTTACGATTTATGACAGGTTTATGTTACTTCTATTTGGATTTCTATATTTCCCATGTGGTTTATGTTTAATATTAGGGGAATAGAGCCAGTTAACATTTGGGGAACTTTTGTTTCATCCAAGGTGGCCAATATAGGGATGTGGAATTTTTATAAAAGTTTTACATGTTTGGCATAGTACTCTTGGTACTTTGTGGCTTCCCACAAAAGCCAATGTTAAACAACTTCCTATGTTGAGCAATGAAAAACTGCTTGCATATTGGTCTGTCACAGTGGTTAAAAAAAAGGGATGATGGTTGCAACCACATAGGTGTAGTGAATGTGGGTACTTCAATGTTGGAACGCACAGCAAAGAAAAATTAATGTCCCTTGGATATTACATATCAATCATGTGAATCTGTGGAATCTACAATCCAAGAGTACNCGCCCTGAGTCCCCTCAGGGAAAAGGGCGGCCTATAAATAAACTTAACCTAACCTAACCTAACCTGACACTCCAACACGCAGCTTTTTCACGGCCTTCCACTTAACAACCACAGCTGGGAGAATTGAGATTGCAGTATGGAGCAAAGCAATCATGTGGTGTCTTGCTTAGTGACTGCTTTGCTCGGTGACCAAAATTCCAGTCCCAGTTGTTGTTGTAAATTGAGAACTACCTGGTTTGATGTTTTCAATTCATTGAGGAGTATTCAGAGTAATAGCACAGGTAGAACCATACCCCTCTCACAGGGTACTGAGTAACAAAGAATGTGAACATGGTTCGTGGTTTTATACATGATTTCCTCATGTTTCATGGGAAGCATGGAAAGAATTAAGAGCATTTGAATTTCTTCCTACCAATTTCTTTTGTTTCTGGAGATGGAGAGTTCACAAATGTTAAGCTGGGCAATCAATTACAACAGATTTGGAGAGTCATGAAATTTTAGTTTGTGCAAAATGTGCTAGTTAACAGTTCTGTACTGTATAGTATTGTAGTGGAATATATTATATGGTGCCATAAATAAAATTCAAATGGTTGTTTTTTCAATTTTAAATATTTAGGATCTGGTTGTATGAGCAGCTATTCATTTCTGTATAAACATGACTAAGCCCTAAAGTCCATGATGCCTCTTTATCGTCTATTCAGGAAAAGCCTTCTCTACCCTGCTCTCAGGTTATAGAATGCAAAGCAATTTTTCTTGGATGCAATTTGAAACCATAATAAAACAAAAATATAGTTGCTCCTTGGAATGATTAGCAAACTATTTATTCTGGATATTAGTAAGACAGTTACTCCAAATAGGTATGCTTCACTCTACATATGTTTGACTGTCAGAAGTTGGCAGCCTAAAATACAGTTCTTAACCATTTGCTGCCTATTTAGAACAAGGCCTTTATTGTTGTATTTTTTGTTGGCTGGGAATTGTAATCCAACAGTCTGAAGGGCATCAAGCTCAGGAAGGCTGAAGTAAGTTGTGCCTGTCATTGTTTTAAAAATAGATGTTCTGATCTAGATCATTCATTCCATACTGGTTGTGCCACAAGGTCATTTTTTTTTAAAATTAGTATAATTATCCTCTATAGCATTTGCCTCTTCTGCACTAGAGCACTTCTTTTATCACTCTTCCTCAGCTCCTCAGTGGTGGTATTGTCAGGAAAATAGGAGGAGGAAGTATTATTGGCTATATTCACCGGCTTGAGTTATATATTGGGGGAGGGGGGGAGGCAGGATAAAAATATAAAAAAAATGNATCCAAGAGTACATCTTCGATTAAAGCTGAAAGATGTTCCTTAAAGTGGCTTGCTAACCAAATGAACTTTCTCTAGAGAAGGGCAGAAACGGTTCACATTCCATTACTTGTAAAGTTATCTGCTGTTGCTTTCATTATTTTTGCTACACAATTTATTTGTATTTAAATGGTTTAGGCAACCTAAGAACAAATGTACAAGTAAAGATGCAGTAAAAAATGAAATGCTTGATATCCATAATTACACTGTATATCGAGCACAGCAGTAAAACAAACCCATGTATTTAACTTTTTTAGGGTTTTGCTTTTGTGATTTTTTTTGATACTTTGCCTAACATGCATGTGCTGTAAAAATAGTTAACAGGGAAATCTTGAGATGATGGCTAGCTTTGTTTAATGTCTCCTGAAAATTTTCATGAACAATCTAAACATAACTGTTAAGAACATGTGTATTAAGTTGATGTAAGTGGAATAAAAGTTTTATGAATGGACTTTTCAACTATTTTCTCAGTAGCTTTCCTGTACATCTCAACTCCTGTTGAAGATATCTTCCATTGTACTGTCTGCAGTGCTAGATTAAGCTAATTCTGAAGTTGTTTGTATTCAGAACCTGCAAAGTTGTAATATAATCTTCCATAGTTTTGTGAGGCTGCCCTGCTTGGAAGTTACCAAAGACACTTGAAAGTGAAATATTAGGTAGTGGTTAATGTATGTAAACCCTACAAATTGGAGCTACTGAATTTAGCCCCTAATTATTAAAATATTTTTAATTATTAAAAAATTTAAGATCATTTTTGTAATGATCTTAAAAACATGTTTAGTAAATCATGTGCCAAGCCTTGGCTTGTAGAAAATAGATAGTTGTTGTATTTTGTGATCTTTTTTATTCTCTGCTAGATTCGCAAAGTTGTGAATTGTTTCAAAAGAGACATTCATTCCATCATTAAGGCAGACTTGAACTGAGATAGCTTTCTTAATTGGTGCAGCCAAAAAGAGTTGGTTTCTTCTTCCTTCATTATTTGCTGCATTTATGAGAATAAGTCCATAACCCTGCACAGGCTGAGGGAATGGATGGTGGTTCTCCTTTTATTCCAATCTCTCTCCTTATCTGGCTATAAAATATAGCATATAATTTCTCAGTTGCCATTATTTCATAAGCAAACTGCATATTATTAATGAAGGCCAATGCAAGGCATTATTTATCATCATCAGATATGCTTCCCATTGAATTACTATCTACCAGGATATTGCAGTTCTCACTGGGAAGCATTGTTGCCATGGTAGAGAACATGTGCAATTTTTTTCTGTTTATCAAATCAGTCGTTGCAATGAATGGTGAAGTCCCAAATATATAATTTACCATGGTAAAAATCAAAGTAAGACAATTACAGTGTGTGTGAATTATAAATACAAAAAAAGAATCCGTATGTAATGTTAGCATTTTAACATTTAAATATACCTCTGGTAGAAGTTGAATGTAGGGTTGTTAAAAGATTTTATGTTTTCTGATCCCTCAATTACAAGTTTTTTATTCTACTGTCTTGAGTTCTTTCTCGTTACCATTTTAGAAAGCAGACAGCAAAGATTAATTCATGAAACGGCCGAAATTGGGGTTTTGTCAATTCAGAGAAAATTTCCTTCTTTGGAAATTACTTTGTGCATTTCCCATGCACACATTGATCTGGAAACAGCAAAGAAGATCTGAAGAATAGAAATGCAGGCCCAACATGGAGAATATCCCAATATATCAGGTACAAAGTCATATGATACCTTTCCTGATGGAGCATAAGGTGATGTTCTGTATATAACAATCAGGGCAAATTAAAAATAAAATTTTGCTTCCTGTGCCTTCATTAGAGATAACAGTAGTATGGCTGTAATTCCAATGTATTACAGTTTTTCTAACAATTATAGAGGATAAGGCAGAAGCTATTCCTGAAATGTTGCAGAAAAGTCAATAGGTTGCTCTCCCTCTCCCTTGCATATCCCTTTTCAGCTTGAAAGCTTTTTACCCACCAAGAAGGGGGAAAACACACATATTCCCCTCTTAGGTCCACAAAAGGAATGGCTGTAAAAAAAACTCATTTGTCTCCTTATCTTTTAAAATATCATTCTGAGAGTGGAAGGATGATATTGAAGGTCTTCAGAAGATTTCAAACTGATAGCCAGAATGAAAAACATGCTGAGACAACCCTTGAGATTTTTCATACGTGACATCTTTGCTAATTTACTTAAAATCATCACAATTTGTCTGACTAGTTTACAAAACTGAGTTTGTAATGTTTCCCCATAAGCAAAATCCAAATGGGAAAATTCAACATCAGGGAGATTGCTTATCAATCTGAGCAATATTTTACTCTTTGCTAAGAGGCAGACAGTAGCCTGAATTTTCTCTTGTTAATGCCTACTGTTGGCACCTATTCAAGTTGGAAATATTGAAAATGTATGGGGAGGCTTCTTAAGATCAATGAACTGCAAGCATGAGATGATACACTGTAGATGACCTGAATCTGACCTATGTTTCAGGTTGTATTTTCTGACTAAGATGGAGTTAGGTTTTGGGGAGGGGAGGGCAGAGGGAGTTACAGTTCTCATAGATGCCAAGAATCTCCTAAAATGTTTAAAATACCCAACAAGGGAAATCAGGAAGATTTTTCTTTGAACTTGTTTTTCTTCATAAATAAAAAATGACTCAATGGATTTTGGAAGCAATGTGGAGTGGTATCCTTTGGGATTCATAACCTTACTCCTAATAGTTTGTTCTCTTATAGCAAACATAACAAGTTTACAGTGGCAGTCTCCTTCCTCGTGAACGTAAATGTTAGTCGAAAAGTCTTGCCTTCAGAAATGTTCTTGCTTTTTTCCTTTGTATTATTTATTGTGCCAAAGAAAAATACAGAATGCTATTGTAGACCTCAAATTCTTAAAATTGTTTTCTCCAAATTCTTCAGTTGCTCAGAAGTATTTTCAGTGCATTGCTACTTTCCCACTTCTGTGCTCAAGGTAAAACAATTCCAGTTGAAGCCTGTCTACCCTAACCCTGTGATGGTGAACCTATGGCACACATGCCACAGATGGCACAAGACCCCTCTCTGCGGGCATGCAAGCCATCGCCTCAGTTCTATATCTGTGCGCACCTCCCGCTGGCCAGCTGGTTTTCAGGTCTCTGCCGCACATGAGCAGGGAGCACGTGGGGTTGCATGCACATGCATGGGGGTGCATGCGGGGCTGGGACACACATGCCTGGGGCAGGCAGGACGGTCATTTGCACATTGCATTATGGGTGTGCACATGTGCGTTTTAGGCACTCAGTGCTGAAAAGGTTAGCCATCACTGCCCTAACCTCTCCTTCAAGAATCTCTTACCGTGCTTGAATGTTTATCAGATCTCCAATGAAACATTACAGCTAAACTATGTTATATTTCTTTATCACACTTCACCCAGTTTCTTCATAC